CGCTCCGGGTGGCCGGGCCCCGCCTTGGGAAGGGTCCTGCGGGCTGGCAGCGCCGCGGCCCCCTCCACCGGCTGCCCTCGCAGGGCACGAGGGTGCAGGGAGCCGCTCCGTCCGGAATTAAGGCACTGGATGGTGCACCCGCTCTGCTGCTGAAGTGGGCTCATGTGCAGGGGTGGGATTCCTCCTGCCCTTGTCCTGCATTGGTTGATCACGCTGCTGCGCTGTTGAGTGTTGCTATTCCTGACGCATTCCTGAAGAATGGGGGAGCCTCAGGCTCCCCATAGTGGGATGGGAGGCTGCATGGGCTGTTTCCCTGGAAGCCTGGTAGCCACTTGCAGCCTCCTGTACAGAGCAGGCAATGGGCCAGTTGAGAGCAGCCCCCCCTGCCCCATTTGTTGCCCCTTCCCTTAGGCAGAGGGGAACAGCAGCCCTGGGGAGGCAGATGGGAAGGATGGGGGGAGCTGGGTCTGTCCTGGGAAGCAGCAGGAGGGGACACCCCTGTGTGCAGGTGCCAGTGCAGCCCCCTGCGGCGTTTGCCTCATTTTCCCTCTCCTTCCTTAGAGCCCATGTCACCCTCTGGCACCAGGCTGCGCTTCCAGTTCAGCGGAATGCAGGACCAGGACATTCACATCCTGCAGGCCCAGCTCTGGCTCTACCTTCGAGTTCCCCGAGACCTGGCAGCCAACCTCACCCTGAGTGTCTTTCTTGCTGGTGGGGAAGGCAGCTTGGCCAGGGGCAATCGCACGCTGCTGAGCAAGAGGCGACTGAGCGCCAAGGGCAGCGGCTGGTGGACCTTCTCCCTCATGCCTGCCCTGCAGAGCTTCTTTGAGGGAGAGAACAGGACCCTGCAGCTGGAACTGGAAAGCCTTGTGGGCAGGGGCCATAGCCTGGCCGTGATCAACGCTAGTCGGTCCCACCAGCCTTTCCTCGTGGCCGAGGCAAAGGTGCAGGAGCCGGGACACCACGTAGCCAAGCGCAGCCTCCGCTGCAGCCAGAACTCGAACCTCTGCTGCCGCAAGGACTATTACGTGGACTTCCGAGACATCGGCTGGAACGATTGGATCATTAAGCCTGAGGGCTACCAGATAAACTACTGTGTGGGCCAGTGCCCTCTGCATGTGGCGGGCAGCCCTGGGATGGCCTCTTCCTTCCATACAGCCGTCTTCAACCTCGTCAAAGCCAACAACATCCAGGCATCGGGGCACTCCTGCTGCGTGCCCACGCGGCGCCGTCCGCTCTCGGTCCTCTACTTCGACCGCAACAGCAACATCGTCAAGACTGACATCCCTGACATGATTGTTGATGCCTGTGGCTGTAGCTAGAGATGGGGGAGCAGTGTTGGGACCTCCTGCCTTCCCCAGGACTGGCTTTCTGGGCACTTGGGATCAGGGGAAGCTTCTCCCTTGAGTTGGATTGTGGTGCGACAGACCCGTGTGGGCAGCTTGGGGGTGGCGGGGGGGGAAGGGGGACAGG